TAAGGACATGACTAATTCGAAAATATCTCTTCTCAGGTCTTTTCCGTTACCGAGATAGGCGGCATTATCCGTAAAATAACTAACTTTCCTGCCGGCTACTTATAATCATACCTTTATGAATAAAATAACCATAAGTAGCTCGAGTACAGTATAGAGACATGTTGCTAGGTGCGAGCTTACTTTTCATTGGTAGAAATCGTGAAAACATCAGAAGGTCGACATGGTTAAAAGTGGAAAAAGTCCAAAATCTGGAAAATTTGCGCGCTCTCTGCGCCCACGGAAAACATTTTCATAAAATTACAACTGCCAGAGAATCTAAGTACAAAGCTACAGCTGCCTAAATAATCAATTTCGCCAAAAAATCTTGCGTTTGAAGCCATAAATAAGAGGCAGTTTTTAGGAAATAATGTCTGTTATCTCCGTAACGGAAAAGACCTGAGAAGAGATATTTTCGAATTAGTCATGTACTTATGCTAATAAGTAACTTGCAAAAAAGATTTTTCTTCAGCTCGTCTGCAAAAAAAGAAAGAAAGGATTAGTTTTTTTGCTGAAAAGGTCGATTTATTTTTCAGATACGTTGAAATTAAAATTATCGTAAAACATGTGCAAATATGTAACAAACTATGTTAATCACGATGGGGATGTAGTTTTTGAAAGTCCTTGATGATCTTTACAATGTTTTCTAAAGACCCGCAGGAGGTCTCTTGCACAACGTTTTTGTTCCCATTTTTTCCTTCATTGTACGGAGCATGGAAAAAAAATTGGATAATGTAGCAAACTTTAGCTCTGTTTCCAGGGTCCTTTCTGAGTCAACCTGGACGAGTGCTGTCAAAAGCTTAGATGTTGGCTGGTCATTGCCAACGTTCGGGCTCGTATAATTTGTATAACTTTTTATTCATACACTTGTAATAGTGATATTCGTGTCCAGCATGGCCGACTCCATATTACCAAATGAAAGTCTGAGGATCGCTTCAGGGTTTTTCGTTTTTGATTTTTTTCTCACACACCGAATGGAGAGCTTCTGCGAAACTAAGTGTGTAACATACGTTTAATATGCAGGACCAATAATAGTTTTTGTTCTTTCATTAGGCAATTTTTTTTTTGTAACTGCCCGATTATTTATTATTGTAGATACTCGTACGTTCTGGTTACTAAGTCACAAAGTATTTCAAGTCAACTTAGTTCGATATAATTAAAATTAAAACATACATAAGCGTTTTGAATAATAAGCCTTTTCTTTTTTGTATTTCTTTCTAAATGGTACTGAATTTTTGTGTATTAAATAATTATGAATATTAATCATTTCATCACAGACATTCTTCCAAACAAATTCACATTTTATCGCTTAATTGATCTTTTAAAGCATTGTGAGGAAGTCAAATTAGATCAATATGAACATGTTATTATATCCATTGAAAAAGCGGACGAGAAGCGAGAATATACATATTTGTCAATTGAAGAATTATATTTTTTATTGCAGACATTACCTGTTCATAAACGAACATTTTGTGAAAATATTAGTGAAACAAAATTAGTGAAATTTTATATTGATTTTTATTTTTATCCGAGTTTAAATAGTGGAACTATCAAAGAGAGAGCATTAGAAATCGTTCTCAGAATATTTTTTTATTATCTATACTGTTATGAAAATTATGAAATACACAAAAATATTTGTATATCGCATAATATAAATTATATATTGTCTAAATTTTTAGTATTAAACTCGACAACCACCGCAAAAATCAGTTATCATATAATTCATGCAAATCCTAATGTATATTTTTATAATAATAAGTAAGTTATCAGGATTGTCATTTCTAAAATTAAAACCATACCGATTTACCCCTAAATCATTCCAATGAAATTTCATACCTAAACATTGCAAACATTACATTTTTCTCCGAACCATGACCATTTATCCCTGAATCTTAAAACTAAAATTTCATTTGAAATGAAACCACTAACCGAAGATTCAATACTAAACCAAGGAATGAAATCTAAGACCCAAACATTACAAACGTTTCATTTTTCCGTAAACCACACATATTCACCGCCGAATGTTTCCAATGAAATTTCTTAGCCAAACATTTCAAACATTACATTTTCCACAGAACCATAACCATTAGTCACTGAATCTTCAAACGGAAATTTCTTAAAAAAACAGAAACTATTGAGCAAAGATTCAATACTAAAAGTTAGGAACGAAATCCAAGACGCAAACATTACAAACGTTATATTTTTCTACAAACCATACGGATTCACTGCTGAATGTTTCCAATGACATTTAATACCCAAGCATTACAAACAATACATTTTTCTCTGAACTATAACTGTTTATCCCCCAATCTTAAAACTGAGATTTCATTTGAAATGAAACCATAAAAGAAAGACTCAATGCTAAATCTTAGGAATGAAATCCAGGACCCAAACATTACATTTTTCTGTAAACCATACGGATTCACTGCTGAATATTTCCCAAAAAATTTCTTATCCAAACATTTCAAAAATAACATTTTTCTCAGAACTATGACCACTTGTCGCTGAATCTAACAACGGAATTTTCTTAAGAAACGAAACAATTAACCAAAGATTCAATACTAAAAGTTAGGAATAAAATCTAAGAGTCAAACATTACAAACATTGCATTTTTCTGTAAGCCATACGGATTCACTGCAGAATCTTACCAGTGAAATTTCCTATGAAACGAAACCACTAATGAAATATTCAATGCTAAATCTGACGAATGAAATCCAAGACGCAAACATTACAAACGTTACATTTTTCTGCAAACCATACGGATTCACTGCTGAATGTTTCCAACGAAATTTAATACCCAAGCATTACAAGCAATACATTTTTCTCTGAACTATAACCGTTTATCCCCCAATCTTAAAACTGAGATTTCATTTGAAATGAAACCATAAAAGAAAGACTCAATGCTAAATCTTAGGAATGGAATCCAGGACCCAAACATTACAAACATTACATTTTTCTGTAAACCACATGGATTCACTGCTGAATGTTTCCCAAAACATTTCTTATCCAAACATTGCAAACATAACATTTTTCTTAGAACTATGACCACTTGACACTGAATCTTAAAACTGAATTTCCTCTGAAACGAAACCATTAACCAAGGATTCGATGTTATATCTAAGGAATGAAATTTTGAAAAACCAGTTTTCTCGATACCATATGTATGTATGCTGAATTTTTCCAATGAAATTTCTTATCCAAACATTACATACATTACATTTTTCTGTAAAACATTCGGATTCACTGCTGAATGTTTCCAATAAAATTTCATACCCAACCGTTACAAACAATACATTTTTCTCCTAACTATGACCATTTATCGCCGATTCTTAAAACTGAAAATTCATGTGAAATGAAACCGTTAACGAAAGATTCAATGCTAAATCTTAGTAATGAAATCTATGTACCAAACATCAGAAACATTGCATTTTTCCTAAGTAATGTCACTGTACGCAAGCGATTTTTCTCTTGGTCGGCTCAAAACTAGTTCTCGAAAACTGCGAACGTTCACGCTACAGAAAAGGTATTGTTCACGTTACATAAAACTAGAAATTAGCAACTCGGAGCCATAAAACTAGCTGTACAATTGACGGTATTTGATGTTTCTATTTTCGTTTTGAAAGACACAGAAAAATAAAGGAAAAAGAAGGCACGTGATCAATATCGATTGTAGAGTAAAACGGATGAACGGCGGCGCGAAGTGTTGATGAGTGACATGTTGATATAAAATCTTTCTGCTGTCACTTCTCACATATAATTGCACTCTCTTTATCTCTTCTTATCAAAATATAATTCGCTTCATCTCTTCCGCTAACTTGCAATCTATCGGGTATAATGAACGCGCAAGAAATGACGGACAGAAAGAATTATTTGCTCAACGAATTAATAGTGGAGGATCCGCCGGGCGTCGTTTAATTGTTCTGTGTCGTGACGAACGTATTGCTGCATATCTAGCAATTCGTTATTCAATACTGAATAATCGATTTAGTCTTGGATTATTCAGTGACATACATTATGGTGACAGCAGAGTTATTGTTGTCGTTACTAATTATTTATTGACACAACTACTCGACGACGACGAAATGTGGCCGGTGTTATTATTTCTCAGAATCTGTCGTTCGACAACTCTCTCAAAACGAACTCCATGTTTTCTTGTTGTTTTATTTTTTTTGTGTGTGTTTTATTCCTTAATCTATATCCTAAATATCCTACATGTTTTAAACATCCTAAGTGTCCGAAATGTCCAAAATGTGCTAAATGTCCTAAATCTCCTAAGTGAACCAAATGTGCTAGATATCCTAAATATCCTTAACGTCCTAACTGTGCGAAATGTCCTAAGTATCCTAAATATCCTACACGTCCTAAGTGGGCAAAATATACTAATTATTCTAAAAATCCTAAATGTCCTAAATGAACTAAATGTGCGAAATATTCTACGTGTCCCAGACATCGTAAATCTCCTCAATTTGCTAAATATCCTAAGTATCCTGAACATCATAAATGTCCTGAATGTCCAAAATGAAGTAAATGTGCTAAATATCCTAAATGTCCTAAATGTCCTCAATTTGCTGAACATCCTATGTATCGTAAACATCATAAATGTCCTGAATGTCCTAAGTGTGTGACATGTCCTAACTATCCTAAATATGCACAATGTCCCAAATGTGCTAAATATCCTAAATATCCTAAATGTCCTAATTTCCTAAATGTGTTACATATGCTAAATGTTCTAAATGTCCTAAACGTCCTAAGTGGGCGAAATATCCAAAATATTCTAAATATCCTAAATGTCCTCAAGGTCCTAAGTGTGCGAAATGTCCCAAATATGCTAAATGTCCTTAATGTCCTCAAGGTCCTAAGTGTGCGAAATATCTTAAATATCCTAAATGTCCTCAATGTGCTAAATATCCTAAATGTCCTAAATTTCCTTAATGTGCTACACATCCTAAATGTCCTAAACGTCCTAAGTGGGCGAAATATCCAGAATGTTCTAAATATCCTAAATGTCCTAAATGTTCTAAACATCCTAAGTGTCCGAAATGTCCAAAATGTGCTAAATGTCCTAAGTGGGCGAAATATCCTAATTACTATAAATATCCTGAATGTCCCAAATGTCCTCAATTTGCTAAATATCCTAGGTATCCTAAACATCAAAAATGTCCTGAATGTCCGAAATGAACTAAATGTGCTAGATATCCTAAATATCCTAAATATGCACAATGTCCCAAATATGCTAAATGTCCTAAGTTGCCGAAATGTCGTAATTGAACTAAATGGGTTATAGGTCCTAAATGTCCTAAATATGCACAATGTCCCAAATGTGCTAAATATCCTAAATATCCTAAATATCGTCAATTTGCTAAATATCCTAAGTATCCTGAACATCCTAAGTGTCCTGAACGTCCTAAATGAAATAAATGTGCTAGATATCCTGAATATCCTAAATATGCACAATGTCACAAATGTGCTAAATATCCTAAATGTCCTAAACGTCCTAAATGGGCGAAATATCCTAGTTATTCTAAGTATCCTAAATGTCCTAAATGGCCTAAATGGCGTAATTGAACTAAATGTGCTAAATATCCAAAATGTCCTAAATGTCGTTAATATCCTGAGTGCCCTAAATGTCCTAAACACTCTAAGATACTCTACGCGCTGCAGAATTTCGTGCTCCACGGAATGACGTTGTTTCCAATCGACATTTTTCTTCAAATTAGGAGAGTAAAAGCGCAAAAGCCTTTTCTATCTCGATCATTGTGTAAGTACTTGAAGGTGTTTTAATTGTCATTTCACACTGTCAAGTGTTATTACACTCTAAAATACTCTACTCGCTGGAGAATTTCATGCTCTGTGGAATTACATTGTTTCCAATCGGACAATTGGGATATATGTGAGTGAAAGAGAAAGAGAGATAAAAGTTTGTTTGCCGCGCACACAAAGACAAACTGTAGAAGTTTGAAAACTAAATATTAAAGCTTGTAATCAAGACAAAATACTCTCATTATTATTGTATAATATATGTGTGCCCCAAGTCGACTGAAACAGCTGACGTACGCGTTTGGAATGTTTAGCACGCGTCGGAAACGCACACTTCGTACGCGTGTGGAATACGTTGTTTCGATCGCGTACGTTGTGTTTCGAACGCCAACAAAATAGGTGTGAGACACCTTGATGAAAGAGGCCTCTTTTTAAGCGTTCATTGGTCATGGGTCAACCAACCACCTGATCAATTACCGTGTTCTTAGCAACATTACTGTCACTCAGCTGTGTGAACGTGTTTTTCATTATTTTCACTAGTTATAGTGTCTGAAGACGAGATACCAGATCATGCGATTTTCACTCTGTTATTATCAGGGAAAACATGTGAAAATGCAGAGGTAAACTGTGAAAATTGTTCAAAATTCTAACTAGAAGCACTGCTGTAGGAAGAAATTCCTAGATTTCGTAGCGCAATCAGAGCAACTGTGGAAATCTGCATGCAGTCGACCATGCGTCTAGTCGTCTGAAACTATACTTAGTGAAAATGACGAAAAAATATTGTTTACACAGGTGAATGACAGAAATACTGCTATGTAGTTGGACTCAATTAAGAAATGCTGTTGTTGTTGTTTCCGTTGCTTATACGAATAAAAGTCAATTTCTTTATCCGGTTAGTTATTTATTTCGCTGACATTTTCATTCCATTTTATTAGCTGATAACAATAAAGTCGTTAGTAAACGTAAACACGGCAACCATCAAAAAACAAAAATGAGAACGAAACGCGTTCTTCAAAAAGAACTTGAAGATTTACAAATTTTTCTGTACTTTCAACAGCAAAATAAGAAAAATGATGGAAGTTTGCGTATTTCCGAAACCCATATGGTATCCATTTTCATTAGTATTTTTTTATGTTCCTTGTTACTGTTTTTCCTCTTCATATTATAGTGGTTCAGCTGCATTTCGACAAATTAATTAAAATATGAAAGTAGAGCGTATGTGTTGAATTTGGATAGTATCAAGTTACCTGGACTTTCTTGACTGTCGAAAATTTTCACCTCGACGTTGATCATTTAGACATTTTCTACCTTCTTGTGCCCAAAATACATCAAATTTTTGCTCATCGTCATTGAAATAGCACACTTGAATTGCTTCTACATTTGATTAGGTCAACAGACAGCATTTGAGCATTTTGCTCGAATGCTAGATAATTGTTGCATACAGATAGAACAGTAAATTGTAGATTCATAATTAAATTTCAGATTCAGTTCTTTCCATAACTCATCACTTGTTCTTGGAGTTTCAATATTGCTATTTAAGCTCTTCAAAAGACTTAACAGCCTGTTTGTATTTGTTTTATCTAAATTCGCAGCCCGGATAAAATTAACTAATTTCATATTCACGCTTTCTTATTCATGAATAAGTTCAGGAATGCTGTTGTCGCTTCTAGGATTAGTTTCACTAAAAGACAAAAGATCCATACATAAGTGTTGAAAATAACCGCATAACATACTCTGGTACTGTTTCTTCGTCTTCTTTCATGATCAAGACATCGTTGTAATTGCCAGTTCTCTCGTCAATATGTTCACTAGTATAACTTCAAATAATTACAATCATGTAGAAGCTTTAGATATTTTTCAGTGAAAACAGGATATACTTTGGGGTAATATGATCATCGTTTAAGTTGTCATCACTGTTCCAGTTTCCACCACATGACCAGGGGTGGCTGTTTACCATTACTGTTACTAGTAACAAGTAACAATGTTGTTACTTGTTACTAGTAATTAGTAACAACAGGTGCTCGTTTGTTACTTTGTTACTAGTAACAAGTAACACAGATGTGTTACTTTGTTACTTGTGGTAAAGTAACAAAAAACAAATTTTTTTAGAAAACAGGTGTACACCGCAGCATTCAATCCCAGATGCAATAAGCTACACTTCTTCACTAAATCCGTGTTAATTTCTCGACAATACCATTCACATCGGCAACCCCGAAACCACTCCTACACGAAGAGTAAACGCTACTTTCCTCATCCTGCTTACAGTCACGGAGACTAACAAGACACATGAATCGATAGCTTTGAAACTCTCTACAAACTAAGCTAGTCAGAATGTCTCGACTGGTCGGGCCAGTCACCCACATTTGTAAAAGAAACGTTCGAGTACCGAAACCACCAGCAGAGCACCCCTTTAGTCATATTTTCTGGGCGTTTAGGTATACTACGTTTGAAGGCTTTTTTGATATTTTAGAAAAACTTTTGAATTTCATTATATGTCTTCTGAGTTATGAGTTATAACTTATTACTCTTCGCTTAACGGTGATGTATAGCTAACAAATATTTCCAGATACGTCTTTATCAGACGTTTCACCGTCTTTTAGCAGGTATTTCTGTCAGTCGACTTCTTAAGTAAGTTTTTTCTAATCAGTTAAGTTGTGTTGTTTCGAAGAACAAAATTTTTTACCAAAGATATTTATTTTTTTTAAAGAACTTTGTAACAACAAATGTGAAAGGATCAAAGAGCTTTATCTTTGGTTACGCCGTTGTTAGTAATGATTTGAAACTTTATCACGTAAAAACATAGAGTACTTTAAAGTACTTGACAACAATGATGCTCTTTGCTTTCTTTGAATATAACCGGCGATGCTAAACGCACTTTCGCTTGCAACGGAGGTCGCTAGGATAACATTATAACGACGAACTAACGATGCCAAACATTTTAAATCATGTTTGTTTTCTGACCAAAATGTTTCAAATTTAGAATCCGGCTTAACTCTTGACACGTAATTCGCCAGTTCTTCTCGAACGGACAGTATCTTTTTGTCTGTATTCATTACCGCGGTTGAGTCCATTAAGAGTCCACATGTGAATAAAAATTTATCTATCTGCGAATTTTCTTTTTTCGTAGTTGCTTGAGACTGTACACTCGGCGGAGACGGCTGTGGAGTTTCTGATGTGCATACAGCTTTTTCTCGTTGAATATCAGCACAAATCAGTTTTTCGGCTTCTCGTTTCTCATCGTCTTTCAGATATTTGTACGTGAAAGGGTGAAAATAGGAAGCAACCTAAAGCAAAAACTAATAACGTGTCTATAACATACTGAAAAGAAACGAAAGCAAAGAGAAAATACTAACCAGTGCCAACTCCTGCTGCTTAGTTGGTAATATAGTTTCAAAATAATACGTAAATTTTGTGCATAGACACCTTTTGAGTACCGCATCTAATTCGGTGGTATTCAAATCTGTTAATAAAAAATGCTTTAACGAATTTAATACAAATCGTCCGAGGGCCATTGTTGGATAATTTCGCCCAGATAGCATTTCGGTTGCGTATACAAATGGTTCTAATACGCGTTTTAAAGTATTCAAATAATCCCACTTCTCATGAGAAAAATATGTTTTAAGCTTGTTGCGCTGGTCTTTCCGTAGACCAGTAATAAGATGTGGCGACGTTATGATATTGTTAATTATCTCGCGATAATCAATAAAACGTTTAACCATGGTGTAGGTGCTCTTCCATCGAACAATAAAATCGAGTACTAATTCGGGACTTTTCATCTTGAGCAGCGGCGCTTCGGAATCATTCGCCATTTGGTCAATACGTTTAAGTTCATAGTGAAGTTGATTTTTTGCTTACACAGTCATGTGTAGGGGTGGCTCAGTCACCCCTACACATGACTGTGTTTCGTTTTCAATGTTATACAAACATGGAACTAAACAATCGAACAATAGAGCTTTTCACGCCATTTATGTAATGTTTTCATTCACTTTTTATTACCCTCATGAGCTATTTCAGACGGACACACCATTAGAGATGCAAGAAATTCATTGCGTTTTTTCCGATACAAGATATCTCTTAATCTTTTCAGTTCTTGACCTGAAACGAGAAAATGGCGAATGAAAGCATCAAACAAACTCGTACGCCTCTTTGCTAGGAGTAGTAAATCTAATAATGGAATGATTAACTTCTGATACTTAAGGAAAGGAGACGTACTGTAAGTTCGATTTTCCATTTCAGAAAATCTTTATGCAATGAAATTCCTTAATAGCAATAGTCATCTACAAGAAACGGAAAGGACACTTATTAAAAACAGTGGAAAAGTATTTAGACGTTTCGAGCACGAAACATCAACATTTGTCTGTTTACCTCTGAAAATCAAGGATAAACTCAAGGAAACAAGTAAATTTTGCCCAAAACAAGAAGTTTACAGATTATCAAGACAAACATCTTGTTTTTTGATCCTTATTCAGCGTCTTTAAACAACATTAGATATTTCCACGTCTAGTTAGACGTCAGGCATTAGTGTATATACATACACTGTCAAAAATTCAGCCGTGTAATAAGATGTCATTTCAAGCGTATGACTCATTCACTTCGACCTTTTTTCTATTGGTTATATATATATGCTTGGGAAAAAAGTCATGTTGAAACAAGAGGGTCCTCTATGCTGAGAAATCTTATTTGAAATACGTTTTAAACGCTCTGAACGCTTTCTACGCGTTCGAAACACATCCAAACGCGTACCAAACCGGCAAAGCGTTTCAAACGCATACATTGTCCGTTTCAGTCGACTTGGGATGTGTTCTAGAAAAATATACTATAGTAGACTTTTTCGCAGAGGAGAACATTAAGTAAATTGATTTGATCATCTAACAGCAAATCATTTTGATAATATATATAATTTAACAAGTAACGCTCATGCTGCAATTCGCAGAACCCTTACTGGAAGGATGCCTTTTAATAGGCATCTTTGCCCAATTCTAAGCATGACTTAAACTTTAAGGTCAAGATAAGATACAATGAATAATCATGGTAGGCTGTCATTGTTGTATCTTATTATGTTGATAATCAGGACAGATGGACCCGCAAAGGAGAGTAAAGTTTGCATTGGTCAAACGTTTAATTGAAAACATAAATTTTTATCGGCAACTTTGCAATTTTTGAAGTAACCACTAACAACTGCGTTACTTGTTACTAGTAAGAAAGTAATACATGTGTGTTACTTTGTTACTCGTGGTAAAGTAACAAAGAACAGCTTTTTTGTTCTTTTCTCAAAAAAGCTTTCTGAAAAGGGTTTTGTGGGGGTGAGGGTGAAATAATTCCACCCTCATCCTCACCATAACCCTTCAAAAAGCGCACCCGTCAAAGTGCAGTTAAGTTTTTAAAATATTATTGAGTCGTTTTTCCTCAATGTTGTAATTTTGGCACAGGTCTTCCATTTCTTTTCAAATATAAGTACTATATGGCTTTATGTGAAAGTTAGAATATTTTCTCTCCACTACTCACTCACGTTTACGTAGAATAGTGAACGAAGAAAATACAACACGAAGTTTATTCTGGGATCTACCACTCATAACTTGCTCATTTTTTGACGAAACTGAACAGTTTGTTTAGTATCAGAATTTTTGTGGGAAAGTACTCAAACGTCGACGGTAAAATGTCGAAAATCAAATGTCGACCGAAACAAAATGTCGACAATGTAAAAGGTCGACATCATGAAATACAAAGAAAAGAAGCTGATGATGAAAAAATAAAATTGGAGCATGAATAAATTAAATTTATGGTTTATTAAGTAAAATTCGAATACATGTCAATGAAAAATAAAATAAAAATGCATATGAGTGAGAACGAAGAGCTAGAATCATACATGTACCAACACATTCGTATAATTTTGTGCCGACAATATCGCGAACGACATTACCGCGAAGACTCATTTATTAGAAAAGAAGAATAAATGAGCCTGGTTTTGTATTTTATATATCATGTCGCGGGAGATGGGGAGGGGGAAGGGCATTGTGAGAGTGAGTTCGAAAAGTAGTTTCACACAAAACATATTTTCATGATGCGCTACTAGATATTTGTGACTGTGTCAGATAATGACTACCCAGGTGAAAGTTTTGGGTCACAAAAACGCGTTAATGTACGTTACTTTTTAACGCGTTAAGCGGTGCAATTCTTGGACCAATTGATGCATCAAAACGCGTTGTCCTCTAACGCGTTTCTTTGCTTCAAAGAGTGATGCTAAAACGCGCTAAGAATGAACGCGTTTTGATGCATCAATTGGTGCAAGAATTGCCCCGTTCAACGCGTTTACTTTTATCACTTTTAAATGCACGCCTATTGCAAGCAGGGAAACGCGTTAAGAAGGAACGCGTTTTGGTACATCAAAAATACAAGCGTTAAAACGTATTGGGTGATTTTCGCGTTCGAATACGTTAGATTTGACTGCGTCAAAACGCGTAAAAAAATAAAATGAAAAAGAAATTAAAATTTGATTTAATTTTAAATTCTAGCACACGTCCATGGTGTCCTCTAGGATTAGAAAGTCGCTAACAAGTTAGAAGTGTAAGAGATTGATTCTTTTGATTTCTCCCTTCGGTCGGCATTCGGCCAGTATAGCTGAGAAACGCTATGAACTTCTTATTCCCTTCGGTCGGCATTCGCAGTTGAACCATCTCTTTGAATATTTTCTCTCTTGTGTAAAAAATAATTTTCTACTTTTATCTCTTGAGATTAGCTTATTCATGGAATATCTGACAACTATTTTTCGGTATTTTGCGTACACACACACACCGACAACCATTTTGTAAGACCCTAGACTAAAGTCAAGGGAAAAATCAGAGTAAAAGTCACGCCAAAATACCGAAAACAGTAATCGATATTTGTGACTTTGCTGATCGAGAAAAGAGAGTGAAAACGAAGCGGGCCAAAAATACCTTTCATGCCATTGTATAGAGCTCGAAGAGTACCACAAATGAGAGAAAAAGAAAAAAATTCGACTGAATACTTCTTGTGCTGGGATGCCTGAAAGTTGATTATTCTTAAAAAAGGGTCTTCTAAGATGGGCTTCGTACTCAAAGAGAAAGACAGATATCGACCTTATTCTTTTTCCATTGGATTAAGCAGCCCTTTAGCTTCATTTTTATATATAGTGCAAGAAATTTTTCGTTTGTTTTGCGTTCAGCAGAGGTGAAATACTCGGTGCCCTTTTTTCATTTTCGGCCATTTTGTGACAATTGGCCTGCGCTTTCAAATGTAGTAGGCTACGTTTTGAGTAACACCACTTATATGACTCAAGCTGCTCTTTCGTATGGTATATTAAACGTCGATGTTAACTCTATGGATGTAGAGGAAAACAAGGTCAAAGTTGCTTCATTGTAATTTTACCCTGGCAGCGGAAAAATGCATTACATGCGGCAGTTTCAACAGCCTGATATGCTCGCTGTAGCAATCTATCTTGTTACTTGTCATCAACTGCAGCTCTGACCAGAAAACCAGCGTGATTAGAGGAAAACAAGGTCAAAGTTGCTTCATTGTAAAAGAGGTCTACATGTGACATCCCTAAATAGGCATGCAGTTTATAACTTTTTTAGGGAACAAATACGGGATTCTATGTAACTGTTTATGCTCTATGCGGCAGGAGCGTTGAAATTTTTGCGGCTGCTATGTCTGTATAAGCTGAGCGGACCTGAATGGATGCACACTAATTTATATCTAAAAAGTTTTCTGGACACCCTCTGCAGATTCGAAGGGAGGTTGCAAGTATTTCCGATCGATTCGCCGTGATAGACTATCTATATTCTGTAAGTTTTATTATCCGTATATGGCTTTTTTTATGTCATCAAAATGGACTGATTTCTGGCGACATCTATCCCCCAAGTAAAGAAACGTCTCCTTAGTTCTTTTTCTTTCTGCATCAGTAATTATATTTTCAGTCATCTCTTTAAATATTTTCTCTCTTCTCTAAAAAATAATTTTGTACTTTTCTCTCTTGTGATTCGCTTATCCATAGAATATCGGACAGCCATTTTTCCGTATTTTGCGCACAGACACACACAGACAACCATTTTGTAAGACCCTACACTAAATTTAGTCTAGGGTCTTACAAAATGGTTGCCCGTGACTTAAGTCACGGAAATATTTATCCATGGAAGCTACCCGAACAGCTAATGAGAGGCAGTCATTCAACTTCCAATCAGATATCGTGCACATTTTACCAGGCCGCATCCAGAAAATCCCCAAAATGCGTTGTTTGTTTTTGTGCAATCTCACTCTATTAGTTAGTTTGGTTACTGTAACAGCCGTTATAATGTTATCCAATTTTTAAAATTCTTGGATTTGTTTATTTCGTTTTAGATTTAAAAGACGAAAGAAATGAAAATTCTCCAAAGAATTATGTTAAACACAATCATTAATTCTAACTATCAGGTAAAACTAGATCTAGAATTCAGTTTTTTTAAATATTATATGTAACTAGCAAGGTATAGGCTTCCCTCCGGGTTGCGCAGTAGTAAATTCATCCTTTTTCTCATCAAAGCCAAATGTCTTTATTACGAAAACCAAAGAGACCAACATGTACCCATCATACAATTCTTTATTGTCTTTTGTAAAGATACTTGATGCTCTTTGTTGTGGCACATACTTCGACGTTGATGTGGGCATTGAACTTCAATAATAGATAGCGGTTGTAAGGAACCACCCATCGATTATCTACTTGATATCTGCCCACCATAGCCATAATTCCGTTTTCTCTCCGTCTCTATCTTGGATATCCATCGAGATTTGCCGTTGTGTCGTCTCGAAAAGTTTTAGGATAGTTCTTGGTGCAACTATCGCCATCCATGCAAATTGAGGTTTTATTCAGAGAACCACACGGCCTGTGAATCATATGACGCTTAACCATATCATGTATTTGTGGCTCTAGTATCGGATCAGGGATTTCGGCGCACACAATCCGGTTGATATCGGCAGCCCCTCTCGGTTTGTCAGCATCGATCAATGTGACAGTGAGGCAGACCTCGTTTATGAAACTCAATCACGTGGATGTCGCAAATGGTCACACCGAATACTTCTTTTTTGAATATTTCCTCTCTGAGAGCCTGTAATTTCAGTTTGAAGACTCGAGCCACTACATCGGGTCGATCAGCTGCCATTTGTCCTGGAAAGAGCTATTTTTTTGGCAGAAAGCCTAAAATCGTCGCAGAAAGCACCTTCATGTGACTTTCTGCCAGAAACTGAACAAAAAATGCTAAAATCATCGACTTTCTCCGAGATTTTGCTAGCAGAAAGTGTTTTTATTTTACTTTCTGCCAGCAAAATGGCTTTAAAACCCGGTTTCTGGCAGAATTTACCACTAGGTTTTGGAAAATTTTGGCAGAAAGTCAGACAGTTTTTCAATTTTTGGCGGAGGAAAGACCCCCTCATCGGGAACCCTGCTCCAGAGAGGCAACAGTCTCTGAATTTTCTTCTATTCCCTGTTTTGCATTCACCCTGGTAGTGCAAATCACCGCAGTCGATGCATGATACGTCCATTCTTCCGAGATATGACTCCTGTGGAGTGACACCTCTCAGAGCTGCGTAATGTTCAAGATGAATATTTCGGCGATGTCTGTGACGTTCACCGTCTTCCTGATTTCTTCTTGAGTGTTGTTCATCGGTTTCATTCGCTCGCTGATCCATGTGCTTTGAAGTATCTTTCTGTCGACGTATAGCAATTTCTTCTTGTGTCTCGTTTGATCTTCTGCTCCTCTCTCTGGAAGCAAGTGCTTGACGACGGACAGTAATTTGTTGTTCTGCTTGCATTGACCGTGAGGATCGAGTGCTGTCTTTTTCTAATCGAAATCGTCATTGTTCTTCCGATTCCGATGCTCTATGAAGACGGACTTGTTCAGCCTTAGCGCTTCTCCTTATTGTCCTCGATGCAACAGGTTCTGATGAATGGTCCATCGTTTCCATAGCTTCGGTAGGGTCAGACATAGAGCGTAATAAATCCGGAACTGATTTGACACACAGTGAACATTAACAGAATACAACGTTAATGCACAGACGGACACCGTGCTTTATATGGTGGTATTGATTGATGGATAGCGGTATGGATTGACCTTTGATCCGGAAGAGACACCGCGCTTTATTAATGGTATTGATAATTGATTTTTCATCTTTAGTTTGGGTTTACACAAAAACGGTTATTCATCGACGATCATGCGAAAGATGCTCCAACAAAATACGACCATGATGTTAAATTGCATACAGATGGAATAATCAAAACAATAATCAATAACAGTCGCGAATTATATCGTGACTTACGTGATGATTTTAGAGCCAACAGTAAGTTCAGGGTTTATTTATTTTGTAAACCCAAGGAACCAATGCTTTATTGTTTTTTTTTAGGGGGCTTTAATATTATTTTAATTGTGGCTATATCCTCATACATTGCTACATTCGTTGGAAGATTAATGCTCGAATATAAAAAAGATAAACGAGAAGAAAAACAAATGGATCGGAATCATGAATATAAAATGATCGAACTTGGCTTGAAACCAAATTCTGACCAACAAACAATACAACAGCCACCTCCACCTAAACAAACACCATCATCAATCAACAAAAAATGATTCAAAAGTTAATACAGACAATGCTATCGTTACAGCAGCACACATATATTCGTTCACAATACAAGACATAATTTTCATTGGTCAAAGACTCACCTTCACCTATCTTTCTGTTTCTTTCTGTCTTCTTTCATTTCATAGTTTATTTAAGTATAGTTCACTCGTTTGTTGCTCTGTCGTTTCATTTTTTCTATTGTTATAGTTGCTTTCACTATGCCGTTCTGCTACTTCTTTTTTTCTTGTTCTCTCGTTATGTCTAACATCTAGTCGTTCACCACTAGGGGTGATAATTTGTCGTTAACTTCTCTTTGAAAAAAGACCAAGATAAGAAAAACCTTTGTTTTTGAAAAAATAAGGAAAAGTAAAGAAAATAAAGAAAACTTGTCTTTTATGGTACAGTTACAAAAAAAATACTTCATAATCGCCTCTCTCTTGTTCATAATCTCTATGTTTGTGATCAGTTTCCTCCCGTTGGCAAAAAACCACGCTCCTCGGCTTCTAAGGGTTAAGAAAATATTGAACAACAGAATTAATCCATGATTTTAATAAACGATGAAAATCTCTAGAAATTCTATTAGAGAAGCAATTTTCGAATACAATTAGCAAAACAGTTCTCTGTTCCAGTAACCCCGATTATATCTAGATGATCGTATAGCACTGATCATTGTATCGATATTCGCTTATAAAATTTTTGTTTAATTAGAGACTGTACGATCTATCTTAATCTGATTATATCGTTCTGGCGGTTTCTTAAACAGAAGGAATAAATTGATGTTATGAGACGAATACTTTTTTTGTATTGTATTTGTGACTTGTCCTCTTATGTATCGTATCGCAAATTGATTTATTTATACTGTGCAATATTGATGAACCGTGTCTCTGCTTCGAACGCGTCGCTGAAAATTTGTTTTTTCTTTTAAAAATTGGGTTACATTCAGTATCCAAACATTGGAGTATCGAAGAAACTAAAAATGTACTTTTAGTTGAAATATATGCGTTTTCTGTTTATACAATTTTTTCTGTTATCAATAACAATTTTCGTTTTTTTGTCGTTATAATTTGTTTTCTACATCCTGTCAAAATAGTGCATAATAGATAAATTAATAGTAAAGCAAAACAAAAGTATTAACTACGATAGAAATATTTTTATCAACTGCTTTTGTTTCTCTCTAATAAATAAATTCCGTTCCACGTAACTGTTCGTAATTTGAACCGCTATCTTCGTCGTCTAACATGATTAAAATTCTTTAAAAAAAAATATATATTTAGCTAACATTTCGATGGTATTCTTCTATTTGTTCAGTTCTTATAGATTAAGCAGAACACAAGTTTTACTGAAATAGATGGATATAGAAGTAAAACATTCATTCACTGTTCTACTTACAGAAAAATTAAGATTGAAGTGCACTAAACAACACAATTGTACATTCACAATCTACCTTAACTTTTAAAAAGAGAATATATAATATTGTATTATTAAAGAAAGCATGGTAATAATCAAAAGCAAAACTTAACAAATTAAATAAATAAATACAATGACAACGTAAAGAAGAAGAAAATACAATTAGTCTGTTGTAGACAAAAAATATCTACATAATTCTTACAGTCGTTGCACAAAGAACAAATTAATTACATTTGCTTTATTTTTTCTCGCAAATCTTGCGTAAAAAAATATATATATTTATAAGACAAAAATAAACTTAGGTGAGATTCTTCTAGAAAGCACTGTATCCATAAACAAAAACAAAAAAAATAATATGCAAAATACTTTAAGTGGAATGAAAGCCTATTTGAATTATATATCTATGTACAATTAAATATGAGTATTTTGCTATTATCTTTTACAAAAAAATAAAAATAAATTTTAGTAGAGAAAGTCAAATTAACGACTAGACGATGGAGGAGCAAGTAATGAAAAATAATGATGTAATGTTTCTTTAACAGCTATACAAATTTGTTGTGCTGGTAATGTTGTACATTCAACTAAGCATGGATAAAGTCCATTGAGCATTGAACTTAGAGCAAGTTTTGTAATAAGCATACCATCATTTGTTGAAGATGAAGATGAAGATGATGCTTCGTTTATAAATGAATATTTTAGTAGAGTTTCAAAACAGACTTTTGAAAATTCTTCACGTAAACGTCTAGTAGAATCAATATCTAAAAAAACCAATGACATATTTAAAAAATTGGAAAAACCAAAATCTCATACTTAAACTCACCTATAAAATTATCTGTCGTATAAGAATAAATCGAACCTCGATTTAAAATATTTAATATTTTCATAAGAAATGTTTCAGGCAATACATTCGCATAGGGCAATATATCATCTCGAATTAATTCGATTACCTAGAATAATTATAGCAAAAAATTTACTTTATTCATAAATCTGTTTATGATTATGTTTTTTCTTCTTACGTACTTGACAATCGATTAGTTCATCGCGCTGAATTTCATCTACGGCAGTATCAGCTGGAGCCAAACTAAAACAAAGATCAAATTATGTTTAAATCCCAAGCAAAATAAGTAAAAAAATAATAATCATGATACATACCTTTTTGAAAACAGAAAATCATCGAATGTTTTTGCTAATTCTGGCCACATATCTTCGAATGCATTTCCTATGTTTTTTTTTAATCAACGAAAAAAGATATTATAAACGAGTTATGGTGATAAAGATGATCAAACTATACTAACGATATTTTCTTGCTACAACTAATCCAACTTTCATTCTATTTTGGTACAGACAGTAATCCAACTTTTAATACACGAAAAAACACTCAATAGCCAATTTCCATGTTGATGTACTTGGACAATTATGTTTCATTGAGAGTGGAACTTGTAATGTCTAGATAAAAATAAAACATTAAGTATTTAATCTATTTTTGATTAAGGAAAGTTTAAATAGTCAGTTACTAGAAAACGATAGGATTCGACAAGATGTTAAGTCACATAACAGAGAGATTAAGGTCATTTATTTGTATAATTGTTTGCAATGTTCCACTTTCAATCACTGATGGATGAGTACCAACATCTTCGTATAATCTAACTGTCATACGCAAAATATTTTCACTAAATGGTATAAAAGTAATATTGTTTGAATGATCACCACCACTACTTTTTAGAAATAAATTATTATTTTGTTGAGCGTAAGATTGTTGCTGTTTTGTTGTTATTGGTTTTTTATTATTATTACCATCTGTGCAATCGAATATTGGTGGATTAATACCATACGATGATAAAATAAGTAAGCGTTGAAATAATAATGGTAACAGAGGAGATTGTGTTATATGAGATGATGATTCTTTAAGATTCTATCAAGAATAATCTATTACTAAACACGAACAAGAAATACAAAGATTTTATTTACTTTTCTGACAAAATCCATTGCTTTGGATGCTGATTCTTGTAACACAGTTAAATTAACGTCAGTTGGTATTAAAAATAAAGCCATATCTGAATGTATTGGTACAGCTAAAATGCGTTCAATTATGGATGAAAATTGTTCAAAATCTTTTTGATTGTACAAAAAGTCTGTTGACCATATGTGTTGAATTATATTCGGAAATATGTCAATATAATAGGTTAAAAAAATTTGTGATGGTATATTTGAATCATAACGATCAATAACAATCACCTTTTCGGGTGGACATTTCGTACAACAACGTCCAATATTTAACCACACAACCCACGCTTGATGCCATAATTGTTGATCATCAGA